CGTTGGTCGTTTCGCCAGATTTCGAGTGGATCAAGATCTTTAGGCCTTTACGATTCGTAACTCTCGAAAGTGCTACATAGACCTGTCCGTGGCTGAAAACAGGTCTGGACAAGTACAGTGCTACATGAGAAATAATATGTCCTTTACTTTTATTGATAGTCATTGCAAATGAAACCATCAACGGAAACTAACGTCGCTGAAATTTAATAGGCAATGCGAATTTTGACAGTACCAAAGTCATTCTAGGAATGAACACCATATCGGCAACATGCTTACCAGAGAGAATCCTGCAGTTGAGAACGTGTTTTCCCATATTAATAACCTGAAGTCTGGTTCCATTGCACAATCATCTGGCCTGATCAATATCTATAATGAGCATAACGGGAGCATCTGTTTCCAGTGGAAACCTAGGCGGTGGAATTATGCAGCATAGTATGGTGTTGAAAAATTATGTGGAATATATTTCTGCGTTGACATCTGATAATAACTCTTTTTTGCACATACTATCGGAGCTGAAATAGACCTTATCCTTTCAGTTATCATCGACAAAAAAATGATCATTCACGTAACCGACACTTTCATTAGTCGGTGCAAGAATTGACATGCTCTCGAAATACTCAGGAGTGAACAGGTTGCTCACCAGATCTTGATAAACAGACTCTATAAGATCGAGAAAGGGATCTGCAGAGTCACGAATCAGCATGTCATCGGGAATCTGAATTTCCGCCACCATCATTGAACTCGTCAGCATCGCCATTGCCGATTCTCAATATCCACTCCGCAAACTCTCTTATATCGTCCGCATTGGCGGAAGGGGATGACGATTGAAGTCTCATGTTTTTGTTCAACTTTATGACCTTACATTGTCTCCACAACGATGATGAATTGATTGTAGCATGAACAATGTCTTGTTTCGAGGCTTTCAACATAACTGGAAGAATTTTCCGAAAGTCCCCTCCACGAACTACAACATTGCCTCCGAATGGCATATCTGAATCAAGTATCGATTTCATTGTCTTGTCAAGTGCTTCGAAACAGCACATGTGCATCAATTCCGTTTGTGGACTTTGATGTTTGATGCTGCATGTGGAGCTCTCATATACAATTATTGGCAGTCCAAATCTCGAATGCACAGTTCTGCCACCGGGGAGTAAAAGCGAAGCAATGCCCCTGGAAGCAACGTTTATTACTATTTCGCCTCTTGAACGGATATCAGCAGATAAAATTAATACTTATCTCATATTACCATTACCATTACTGTTATCGTTACCGTTACCGTTACAAATATATATACTAATCTAATGATACTAATACTATTAGTAATACTAATGTTATTCATAATCCTAGTATGCTAATGCCATTGTCAATGTCAATGTTAATCATAATCATAATTCTAATGCTGATGCTAATCCGAATACATTAATGCTAATGTTAATCCTAATACACTAATGTAAATCTTAATCCTAGTATGCTAATGTTAATAATCTAATAATAATCATAATCTTAATGCTAATAATAATCCTAACACTAATGGTAATGCTAAATCTAACCCAAATCATAATTCTTATATTAATCTTAATCAAAATCCTAATCATAAATATAATATAATCCTAATAATAACGCTAATCTTAATCTTAATAATCATAATCCTAA